GTGAATCTGTGTGGGGAAGCTGAGAGTGTGTGTGTGTGTGTGTGTGTGTGTGTGTGTGTGTGTGTGGAGAGGGGGCAGGCCAGGGGCTGAAGCAAGGTAGAAGAGGCACCTTCCCCTCCAGCAGGAGAAGGGGCAGAGTGGCCCTCTGGGGCAGCAGGGAGCAATGGGGCTGGTCTGGTGGCACCGGGGCAGGTGCCTGTGCTCACAGGGGCAGGGCAGGGGTAAGCGGAGGACTGTAGGCCGGATGTAAGGGGCACCGGCATGGCTGGGAGGGCTGTGGCTTGGGAGTAAGGGGCACCGGTGAGGTGCAGGACAGAGGGTCAGAGATGTGGGGCACTGGCAGCACCAGAAGGTTGCAGCTCAAGGGTGCAGGGTCCTGCTGCTTAGGAGTGAGGGGCCCTGGCAGGTCTGGGATCTATGGGTCAGGACTGAGGGGCAGTAATAAGGCTGGGGGAGCTGTGGCTTGGGAAAGAGGGAGGGAGAATGGGCCGGGGCAGGGCACCAGCATATCACTGCCCCCCGCCCCCCATCATAGCATCATAGCTCAGAAATGATGTCTTCCTCTTGTACATTGTGTGGGAGGGAGCACGTGGGGTGGGGGCGTGTATGGCAGGGTGTGGGAGGGGTGTGGAGTTGCTGCAAGGGGATGTGGCTGTGTGGGGAGGCATAGGGTAGGTTGCAGGCTGCGTGCATAGGTGGGGGGTTATGGGGACAGGGCGTGGGGTTTGTGGGGTGTGGGGGAGGGTGGGGGTGTGGGTTCCCCCTACACATTCCTCCCATGGTGCAGAGCCCTTGCTGCCACCAGCAGCAGCAGTGGCAGCAGGTCGTGGGGTCCCGAGGGTCCCTCATGGCCCGCACAGGTGCTACCGCCCAGCAGTGCACAGCTCCAGCCAGAGCTACACCTGGCGGCAAGGAGCGTACCCAGGCCAACCCCCTGTATCATGTGCGGCTCCCCATGGCACACATGTAACTCTAAGCAATAAAATGCCACTGGGGAGGACCCCCAATGATGGATGGGGGCATGCTGGACAGGCCTTTCCTGCAACAGGCATTCCCCACCCCAGGGCAGGATTCACCTCCCCAGGACTCAGCACTCAGCTCACACTGATGTCTTTCAGATGATCCGGGGCCAGCTCCTGTCGGATCTCCTGTGCTCAGAGCCCCAGGCTGGGCAGTCTCCTACTCTGTCTCTGAGGTTCAGGGGCCGGAGCGGTGCCGGCTGGGCCAGGAGGTGACCCTGAGCTGCTCCATGGAGGGGACGTTCCCCGAGGACGTGGCCGTGACATGGGAAAGGATCCACAGTGAGGACAGGACGGTGCCTGAGATTGACAAAGAGCAAGAGAGCCCCGAGCACCAGCCACTGTTACCCGCCCTGCCCCCGGGCTGGAGAGTGACCGAGGAGAGAGCTGGGACCTGCCTCACGTCTTCCCTGACATTCACCCCCACGCTGCAGGACGACGGGACGCGGGTCCGGTGCGTCTTCCTCCACGAAGTCGAAAGTATCAGAGAGGAGCGAGTGTCCCCAGAGATCCAGGTGTGGGGTGAGTGCCCAGCACCCCTGATAACACCCCCGGCTGCAGCCAGGGCCTGCTGGTGTCGAAGAGATGGGCCAGCACCTGCTAGGGCATTGGAAGTGCCAAGTGAGCCGGGGTAGCAGACCTCACCCAGACCTCACAGCACCTCCCCGCACCAGCCAGATGCCTATGAGGCCCAAACACCCATCTCCCCAAAATGTTGTCTCAGCAGTCCTCTAGCTAACAGTTCTGTTGTCTCCCCAGCCCGGCCGCAGGTGTCTGAGATTCAGGTGTTGCCAGAGTGGGACCCCCGCGACAAGGTGCCGTTTGCTGTCCAGCTCCACAACTTCTACCCCAGGGAGGTGCCCCCAATTCAGTGGGGCTGCGATGGGATCTGGAGCTGGGGGGAAGACCTAGCACAGGTAGACAACAACGCGGACGGCACATTCACCACGACGAGCATCTGGAGATTGCCCAGCTGGAGCCTGACCCGGCCGGAGCTGCGAGTGCGAGTGCGAGTGTGCGTCCCGCACGGCCCCGGAGAGCCCCCGAGCGAGAGAGAGCTGAGCCTGAGGGCCGCGGGTGAGGTTCACCTCCCCAGGACTCAGCACTCAGCTCACACTGATGTCTTTCAGATGATCCGGGGCCAGCTCCTGTCGGATCTCCTGTGCTCAGAGCCCCAGGCTGGGCAGTCTCCTACTCTGTCTCTGAGGTTCAGGGGCCGGAGCGGTGCCGGCTGGGCCAGGAGGTGACCCTGAGCTGCTCCATGGAGGGGACATTCCCCGAGGACGTGGCCGTGATATGGGAAAGGATCCACAGTGAGGACAGGACGGTGCCTGAGATTGACAAAGAGCAAGAGAGCCCCGAGCACCAGCCACTGTTACCCGCCCTCCCCCCGGGCTGGAGAGTGACCAAGGAGAGAGCTGGGACCCGCCTCACGTCTTCCCTGACCTTCACCCCCACACTGCAGGACGACGGGACGCGGGTCCGGTGCGTCTTCCTCCACGAAGTCGAAAGTATCAGAGAGGAGCGAGTGTCCCCAGAGATCCAGGTGTGGGGTGAGTGCCCAGCACCCCTGATAACACCCCCGGCTGCAGCCAGGGCCTGCTGGTGTCGAAGAGATGGGCCAGCACCTGCTAGGGCACTGGAAGTGCCAAGTGAGCCGGGGTAGAAGGCCTCACCCAGACCTCACAGCACCTCCCCACACCAGCCAGATGCCTATGAGGCTCAAATACCCATCTCCCCAAAGTGAGGTCTCAGCAGTCCCCTAGCTAAAAGTTCTGTTGTCTCCCCAGCCCAGGCGCAGTTGTCTGAGATCCAGGTGTTACCGGAGTGGGACCCCCGCGACAAGGTGCCATTTGCTGTCCAGCTCCACAACTTCTACCCCAGGGAATTGCCCCCCATCCAGTGGGGCTGGGACGGGGCCGGGAGCTGGAGGGAAGACCCCGCGCAGATAGACAAGAACGCGGACGGCACGTTCACCGCGACGAGCATCTGGAGAGTGCCCAGCTGGAGCCTGACCCGGCCAGAGCTGCGAGTGCGAGTGTGCGTCCAGCACGGCCTCGGAGAGCCCCCGAGTGAGAGAGAGCTCAGCCTGAGGGCCGCGGGTAAGGAGGGGCCATGTTTTGGGGCCACAGGCCCTCTACAGTGGGATTTTGGGTCTGTGTGGTGTGTGAGGGGCCGGGGAGCAGCCCCTGCCAGGCCACAGCTCCCTTGACGGGGCCTGTCCCTGCCTCTGCCTGTTCTCGGAGAGCCCCCGAGTGAGAGAGAGCTCAGCCTGAGGGCCGCGGGTAAGGAGGGGCCATGTTTTGGGGCCACAGGCCCTCTACAGTGGGATTTTGGGTCTGTGTGGTGTGTGAGGGGCCGGGGAGCAGCCCCTGCCAGGCCACAGCTCCCTTGACGGGGCCTGTCCCTGCCTCTGCCTGTTCCCTTCCCCAGGTCTCCTGCGGCCCCCGGACGTGTCCGAAATCTCCCAGCCCGAGTCCGTGGCCAAGGTGAAGGGAGTCACCCTGAGCTGCCGCATCGCGGGGCATTTCCCGGGGGAGCTGAGCGTGACCTGGCTGCGGAGGGGCAAGGGGGAGGACACTGCTGTGATCCTGCGGGACTCAGCTGAGTGCAGGGTGGAGCCCGGCACGGCCGTCCTGGCACGGGACGGGAAGAGCTTCCAGCAGGAGACGAGACTCACCCGCTGGACATCTAGGGATCAGGGAGCAGAGTACATCTGCCGCGTGGGACACCTGGCCCTGGAGACCCCCATCGAGAGTAGCAGCGGTAAGTGCTGTGATGGGCCCGTGGCAGTTGCAGGATAAGGGATCTGGTCATGGACCCCCGCTTTGGTCCTGCTAATGGTGGGTCCAAAAGGGAGCAGACCTGTCTGTCGCCCAGCCCAGCCCAGAGGGTTTGTGACCCCATGGCACTACCCAACCCCTTGCACTGGGCTCCCCTGGAGGCTGTCTGCAAGAGGGAGCACCTGGTCTTGCTCTACATGTGTGAAGACAGCCAATGGCAGAGGCTTCCCGGACCTGTTCTCAGGCCTGTGGGGCAGTGGGTGGGCAGTGTCTGGTGTCTGGGAACAGGGTCTGCATACTGATATGCTGTTCACCGCTGTTGCAGTCCATGTCCAGTGGGTGTTTGGGCTCCAAGGTGGGAGCATGCAGGCTTGGCAGCACGGGGTGAGGCTAGGGTTGTGATGCTCAGGTGCTGGAGCAAGTGATGGGCATATTTGTTCTCGCCACTCTGGTTGTGCAGGGGAAGGCACTGGGTGCTCTCATCCCAAAGAGCCTTTGGAAACAGGGACTCGTGCTATGGCCCAGTCACATGCAGTGACGTGTGTCAAGGGCTCTGGGGTTGCATTAGCTAGCAGGAA